ATCACAAACCAGAACTCAAGTCCACTGAATATGATGATCTACTAATAAGGATTTTCCGATATTGATCATTACCCTAAACGTTTGTCAAAGACCACCTATCTCTTATACTCATAAGGTTACTCAACCCATAGCAGGCTGACCAGCAAAAGAGAGCTCTTCTAAATAAACTTAAGTTAATTTAAGTAAACCAACCAAATGTATATAACTTCTTATTTACATTAACTATCAATAGCAAATAAATAATATACAGTTTATATGGATAAGTGTCTATGTTTTCTATTTGTTACCATACATTTTTTTTAAACTATTACTATCTATAAAGAACCTTTATAAGAGGAATGTGAGGAGACCTGTAAAAAGATTAAGACACAGCAAACTTTAAAAAAAGAGAAAATAAATCATTCGGCAACAACCAAAAACAAAAATGCCTCAGAATGTAAGGCGAGACGTTTTATTCCTTGTTTCGCGATGCATAGGAAGGCGGAATAAAAATAAAATTTTGTTTTCTTATTTAGCCAATAGTTTTGACAAAAACATCCAGATGGAGGAGAAAATAAAATAAAATTTTATTGGTGAATGTAAAATAGGATGGTCTAAATGCTACATTTATATAATTAGGAAGAAATATGCATCTTTGGCGATTTCAAAGGCGTAATAAAAATAAAGAAAACATTTTATTTTTTTCTAAAGTTTTTTTTTTTGTGCTAATTGGTCAAAAATAAAAATTTTATTTTTATTTGGAAATCATCAATATTTGCAGTCAGCGGGTTCACTGAACAAGGTATAAAAAAGTCTAATTACTCAAAATAATCAGTGGTGATTAACTAGATGGTCAATGAACCCCTCTGGAATGATTTCGCACTTGGTTAGTGTTTTTTTGGCTGTTGCCAGGGATGCGAATGCCCCTTATGATGCCCTCTGGATCTACCACTGATAATGGAAAGCTAATTTATAACAGAGAGTGTTAACTGTGATAATGACTCGTAATGATGATGGGGATGATAATGACTCACAAAATGATGGCAATGATGACTCATAATAATGATGATGAATAATGCGCTACAAATCACTGACGTATTATATACATTCAGAATAGCAAGTTGTCCAAATAAGGGAAAAAACATTATTTCCTTATGACTAATATGTCAGAATGACAAATGAAAAAAGGTGCGAGTAGGCCTATTCCTGTAGTAAATAGGGAAAATTACCAATGACAAATAAAAAGGGGTACACAGGTCTATTACAGCAAGTCAAAAAGGGGAAAAAAACCGATCAATGACAGATAAAAAAAGGTGCAAGTAAGCCTATAGTAACATGGGATATAGGATAAGGGGAAAAAACAAAATTGGATGCGGTCTATGACTGAAATCTTAAAATATCTTTTGTTTCCTTTATACTTCTTAATACTTCCTTATTTAGTAACCCACATGTTTCCTTCCAGTTGGATTTCCCCTCAAATCAACCTTTTTGGTATCCCTTCATTATTGCTCGAACTGACTCGTGTTTCAAAAGTTCTATCACTATAATAATGTATTTTTGTTTATATAATGCTGTATACAATCCACAGTTCGTCTCGAAGAACTTCAAATATGAAGTCAATTATAATGGCACAAAAGGCAATTTAATTCAACAGAGTAGTAGTTAAAAGTAAACTGCAAATAATTTAGGGTTTCAACCAAATCCATTTCCATTGAAGGTCACTGGCAAAAGTGGCATATCTCGGAGTCTTTGAAAGGGGAAGTTGCGAAGGTGAAGTAGGGGGCCTCGGTGATTAGGCGAGGGATTGTTAGCTTGCATAAGGTGATTTTTAACCTACTTGAGCGTGATTTTTGGGGGCGACTGGGTGTGTGGGTAATGCCCTTAATTTTTTTTTCCAAGTTACAAAACAAACTGGATAAAAAAAAAGAAAATTATATTCAAATTTAAGTCTGAGAGTGCCATTACCAGCCATCTAGATGTCCCATAATTATAAATTTTCTTACCTCAGCCCCAACTATGGTGGGGCTGACATGGTGTAGACCCTCCATATGTGAAAGCCCATCCCTGGGTCCCTATTTTGAATTCCAGGATCCATCACTGCAGATCTCCCAGAATTAACTTCTTCAAACTTGAGACCGAGGTTTTATCATAATGTTGGCCAGACAATTGGAACCACAAACACTAAGATATATGACTATCTTCCTCATTACTGCAGCATCTGTTACGAATCTCATTTCCTGATAAAAATACACAATTATGTTGTATCAAAGGTTGTTGGTGGGTGGCACCCTGTAAATACTGCTATTGAGTTGCTGAATATCCCCCTCAGCCCACACAGCTTGCCTGATTCCATTCGCCAGCCTGTGGGTGAAGGGTAGGGCACACCATTCCTCCTCAATTCATGGCTGGGACAAGATAAGAGTGTGGGTGGAGGAGGATATTCAGCACCTCAATAGTGGTGGTTAAGGGTGCCACCCACCAATAAATTTTGAAATGACATAATTGAGTATTTTTATCAGGAAATGGAATTCATAACAGGTGTTGCAGTAATGAGGATAAGTCATATCTGGTGTTTGTGGTTCCAATTGACTGTGGCGGATCTAGGAATTCTAAATAGAGGGATGTAGGGAGGGATTTAACTAGAAATATTGACATGTGAGGGAGAGGCTTATGGGGGGGGGATGTGACGGTTAAGTGGAGGGATTAGACATTAACATTTCACTGCAAAGCAATGGTGTAACTGGTAGAATGACTCAATGAGCAAAACATGTAGAACCAATGCCAATTTTGCATTCTGCAGTAGGGATAGTGTTGAGCGCGGGAGCATGTAAGCAAGTATTTTTAGTTTCGTAACAACTTTCACCTGATCATGATCTACGGAATTTAGGAAATGATTTTAGTTATGTACAAGTCATTGTTTTTAGATTCAGTGACGTCATAGGCTAATCCTTGATCGGCCTCACAAACCACAGATTACTATCACTATCATAAGCATCATATAATCTTCACCATAACAACCATCATCACCACCATTATTACTTTCATCTTTGCTGTGTATTTCCATAGTGAGTGTATATTAGATATAGCGTCATCATCATTACCACTACCACAAGCATCACTGTTATGACCTTGTTACTTTATATAACATTACTTTCATGTTTTTGTGATTTGCATAACTTCTATAGTGGATATATCCGATATAATTATCATCAACATCATCATCATCACCCCATCATATCATCATGTTTCCCAATACCAGTAAATTTTGTGGTCGTCACAAAACATATCCATATTTTGTATTATATTTCTGTTTTCTTTATTATTTTTCTTGGTTTTTTTGTTTTTGTTTTTGTGTTTACATCACATCACATTTTAAATGCCTAAAAGCTGGCTACATGTCACAAAGTTCAGTAGTATCACAACTGAATATACCAACAAGAAGATAGTCTATCTACAAGTAGATGAACAACCTGCTTTTCTGATATTCAAACTGTTTAACTACCGCTCCAGTGACTACAAACTGCTTTCTATATTGCATTACACTCCATGGACAAATGTCCTTACATTTCTTTACTATTATATTGTAACATATTTTAGATTTCTGCCTTATTAAATTGGCAGTGATTCAGTAATATACTGTACTCATCTATTCGGTAGAAGCCAATTTACTGGCATACTAAACCATTCGTTAAACAAGACGTTTTTTAATTCATTGCAAGGGTCAAATCTTAACTCCTATTCACTTCATCAGAAATCAGTTAAAATCAATTTGGGAAATCTTATACTACAGTGTTTTTTTATGATTATGTTATTCATTTATGTTATGAAATTCAATTTATTCCCAGCCTCAGTATGAGACTCAGATTTTAAAACTTAATTATATAATATTTATTTTATTATTAACATTATTGGTATTATAAACAAAAAATATTATAAATAAAAAATATTAATTAAAACATGTAATTAATAATAACAATAAAGAAAAAAAATCAGTAGTATTACTAGATATCAATAGTTAATAAAAGAAAAAGATAAGTTATAATAATTATAATAATAAATTATATAATTATTATAATTGTAAATTAGTTAATAATAATAAAATATTCAATAGACATTTGCAATAGGCATCTAACCGATTACCAACGAGTCACTCGTGGTAGCTGTTAGGCAGAAAGCGAATCACAATTGCTAATATGAAACCGAAAACCAAACACTGCCATGTGACGATAAGCTTAGCTATTTACAGCCTACTGTAATTGATTCACAGAAACCTCACACATAGTGTAAATAATATGAATACATTGACATCAGCTATACTATGAACACTAATGTATGAGTAATTGAGTGAAAGACAGGAATTTCACACATTCCTATCTATTAGGTGTTACACGAGTTATACAATAAAGGAATTATTTCAAAATAGTTTGGAGGGTGAATTAATGCTAAAATGGTTGAACATATTTATGTTATACAATATTGTTTATGATATCCATTGCAATGAGAATGACGATACACTTAGGAAGCACTCTACATTGTTTAATTATGAAATTTTTCTTCTTGATTTAAAATAAGCAATATAAACCTTCTTTGGTAAATTCCCGCATACTTTCCTGAATTGAGACAGGGAGAATGACCATGGAAGAATGTACTCCAGAAAGAATGTATAGCTTCCAAGATAATATAGTCTGCTAAATACTGCAATTAGATCAAAATTAATATAATAATATTTACAATCCTGTGCCCGGTGTTCTGGCAAAATTTTTTTTTTTGACTATTTTTATAAACTCTGAAACTCAGTTTATTTGATTATGTAGGTTTACTATAGTGTAAAGCTCTTTATTTTTTGAACCATCACAATTTCAGATATGCGCGATTTTAACATAGATCATTCCAATAAGCATCTACCGTATGATATTGTTGCTAAGGTCCCAGAAAATAGCAGACAAAAAAAAATATGGCAGAGGGTGCAGTCCTAAATGTGAAGATGTTTCTGGGTGGTGGAGCATGCGTGCATTCCCGACCCCGTCTATTGACACAACACATTCTCATTGGTCAGTTTTTAAGCCTGACTGACACTCAGAAAGGTCATTAGTTTAATAGGATTGTAATTGACCTTTCCGCTAAACCACGCCCTTTGGATATTGTTGCTAAGGTCCCACAAGATGAAGTGTGTTTGTGGGACAACACGTGTGTTTGTGAGACGCGTGCGTATTCCTAACGTTGTTCTCATTAGTCAGTTGTTTAGTTTGATTAACACTCCGGATAGGTCTATTCTAGGTCAATCTTGCACATCAATCACAAGTGTTCACCCGGTTTGATTTGTGCACTCGATCTTCAGGTTCCATTCTGGTCGGAAATTTCTCGTAGTGGAAAAACGTTCACTTTTACACCGTTAAGCTTTTTTCTGCATAGGTGTTATCCAATTATAAAAGCAAAATATACTTGGTTACATTAGTATAACATTCTGAGGATCACAGCCAGGTATTTTCATGTAGAAGTCTCTGCTTCACCGAATTTGGCTCTGCAACCAAGGAAATGCCTAGAGGCAGACCTGCCTGCCTAAAAAGTGGCTCCAGATATTATTAAAAGCCTACTGCCCCAACATTGTACGACCATTTATTTTTATTCATGGATTTCGTAAAAATTAATGGATCGTAAAATGGTAAGTTTCACAGTAGGGTAAACCAACTTTGCATTTCCTGAAAGCAGGAACTCGGGAAAACAAAATTGCATTCACCAAGCCAAGTATCAGCATTGAAACGATTTCCCAATCCAACAATTGCAGCAAGACAAAGCTCTATCATTTCATCAATAATTTCTTTGTTTACTCAGCAATGTTGGAGTTTTGAGCATCATCATCATACTCTGTCAATATACCATATCAAGGTAACTGTTAGGTCTTCACATATTTGTCAGACCACAGCTGACAGGCATAACTCTCAGATCCTGTTTACTTCACATTGTTCAAGACCGCTACTATTTCTGAGGGATCTGTGGTATCGGGTAACTTCAACATTGCTCTCTCAACGGCTTGCTGGCCAAAGAGAGCACTCAGATGATGTTTCATGTTTCGTCGTTTTTTCTCAAATCCATCAGGCCTCTCTTGCGTCTTTGGTGGGGCAGAAACAACAGACGGCTGCGGTGCATTGCTCGATATAGTTTTGACTTGAGAAGGATTATTCGATGCATGTGAAGAAATGTAGGGTGAATGAGTTACACGAGCTGGCCTAGTATACGGATATGGTTCCATAGGGCCCTTGGAACGCATAGCTCTCTCCGTTGGAGCTTGTGGATACGAATCAAACTGATTAGGTATCTCATGGTAGTATTGTCCAGATTGTGTTGCGTACGGAGTGTTATAGTGTGCCACTGGAACCTGAGGGCCAAAGCCGGGATAGCTAGGCCTCCTTGTGATATGATGCGGTACTGTTGAGACGTATGTAGGCAGAATATCTTGCTGATAATCACTGAAAAAAATAAAAGAAGATTTATCACAGTGATCGCTATGTAGGCTACATATATAATGATTACATGGCTAATGTTAATAATAATAATTATTGTTTAATATTAAAAAATGAAACTGAGAATGTATTTGAGTCATGTACATCACCTATTTAAGTAGGAAATTTACCTTTGAGATCTAAGTTGCATGTGGCTCATTTCACTGGCTAGAGAATTTTGGTAATCCTGTGGGTTACTGGATCGGCCAGGCCTCTTGGTGTACCCAGGAGGAAGCGGCTCAGTATGTGACTGTCCGTACGCTTTCGGTTGTGAAGACACAAGAGGAAAAGTATGATGTTGATTTGTTGCGATGAAATGCACTGGCTCTGAGTGTCCTTGCCCATTGCGCTGTAATTCCTTGGTATACTGGGGTAATGATGATGCTGCGTCTGATGTCCTGCGTGTTTGAGAATAGCTTCCGGATTGGTTTGTTGTATCCTCCCTCCTCGACAACAACGGCGCTGTGAACGATGTTGGTCGAGGCTCTAAACCAAGCTTCTCACCGGTTGGAGATTTTGTTTTATTCCTATATTTGTGATTGTCCTTTAGACTATCAGCAACCGATTTATACCGTGGCCTGTCGGCGTGGAAATATTTACACTTGTTTCCAAAGGTACATTTCGTTCCATAGGGACAATGTGTAATTGGTTCCACTTGAGTAGGTTTGATGCGGAGGAAGTTGTCAAGACTTGGTCCATTACGACCCAGAGGATCATCAGGTGGCATGAACCTGGAAAAAAATAGTTAAATATGAATTACTAAATAATAAAATAACTACTATATTATAAAAAAGAAAATTAATAATATTATAAGGAATAAAGTTTTCATAAATAAAATATTCAATTTTTTTCATACTGTACAAACTCTTTGAAGTTAAGCTTTGTACCGCACACACTGAGCTTCTTACTAAAAGTATATTGATATTTATCCACTGACGGTGTGTTTAACATTTTATTAAAATTATTGATTTATAAAGACCAATATACAAGCCTAGATTATTGCAACAGTCCAGGTATACTTATGCAATAATTCCAGACTATTCTATACTATAAAAAAAACAAATATTTTCTGTACATCCGTGAACTGAATAAAACTACATCATAAATAGTGGCTTGGTATTAACAAAAGCAATATATTCCAAATGCATTATATAACAACAACTTGTATTATATAAAATTCTGCAGAGATTATACAAAGCTGGGAGCATTTAATATAAAGCTAGAGGCCTTTGTATAGAGCTACAAGCATTACTGAAAATCCTACAGGTGATTTTTTTATCAATTCAGCTCCTGTATATTTCAATGGTGATAGCGCATATTCAAGTGACAATCTATTGTCAATGTTAATACCATTGTTTGTAGCTACATTATACAATATCATATGCTATAAATTGGAGCTGTATCACATGATCTAATCTCAGAGCTCAGAGTTCAAAGTTCAAATCCAGGATAATACCACAATGTTTTCATCTTAGTAATGATGTTGGATGTAAAGGAAATTTTAAAAATTAATTAAATATAAGGTATGTCATATACCAATCAACCTTAGGATAGTTTTATTTTATTTTTTTACTGCTTAAACGCTTGTGTCCTAGAGCAAGGCAGTGTATCTGTCTTGCTCACTTTGAAAGTGGTATTCTCGCGTAATTTTTTTTGTACGCATTTTTTCACACATGCATTTCACATACGCATTTTAGGCGTACACATAGTTAATACAACTTACTTGTCTGTGACAAACGCATACATCAGTAATCGTTCAGCAATGAATTTCTTCCATTCTAGATTTTCATTTTGAAGGTCCCGGAAGTTGTCTTTTGAGACGATAATACCATCTAAATCTACGGCCGTTTTAACAATGTAACGATCGTCGTAGCAGGTTTTTCGCATACCGTTTACTCGGCGGGATGGCGTGAAAACCAAAATTCCCTCTCTTTCCAGTTCAATCATTAAGTGTTGATCTAATAAAAATAATGATAGGAAATTTATCAAAATAAAATTTTTCTCTTTATGTAATTTTGTTAAGATTGATCAAATGGTTACGTTCATAATAAAATGTAAAAGTTTTTAAATCTTAGATTATTAAATATATACCTTTTGATACATATATATTTTGAATGTTTTTAGCAAATATAGAATAAGAATAACACAAAGAATATGTTATAACTAGGCCTGTTGTTTATGTGGTACAGTATATGACAGATCATGATTGAAGTATGTTGTCAACATGTTAAAATATTTGTTTCCACCATGCTTGTTAAATCATCCTGCCTGTGGATCTAACAGCATGATATTCAACAGTACCACAAAATAACTCATCCTGAAAATTGATAGGCTTGACCTATGAACCAGGAAAAAGTTATCTCAATAATCCCCTTCAACAGGCTTGAAGGAAGCACAAACACCAATGGAAACTAAATCTCCATACCATGTACACAAAGGAACAATTATTTATCGTCCCTTTTAGGGGAAAATCTGGCCAGCCAAGCCATAAGCCAACCACAGTCTGGATTTGCTATTAGATGTTACTATTAATACTAACAATAAAAACAACATAAAAAAAATAATAAGTAGACTACAATGTTATAATTATATTTTTTAGTAATCACTTTTAACAATTGTATTTCCAATGCCAAATAAGACAAACCAGTGGTTTTTCACAGAATCGTTAACACATGGCACACCGAAGTTTAATTATTATCAATCTAGTTAATCAATGTTTATGGTAATGAATTTAGGTAATGGTAATTAATTTTAATTATCATTTTCATTTAACAATTAATTACATGAAGCAGCTTTTTTAACTCAAATTTTTGTTAAATTGATTAAAAACAGAATAACAAATACTATTTTCATTCACTTTCCACAACCAGAAATTACTATTACTTGGTGCTAAAAAAAATACTTTCCTAATACTATACACATTAATAATCAGCAAATTTAGTAAAATCTTACAGGGAGCAAGAAACATGCATGCACAAACAAACTTACTACTTAAGAAAATTCACTTTAATAAATGAATTTTAATATAAATTTGGACAACAAACCCAGAGAAATTCCTTTAAACCTTACGCAAAACCATCGATATCAAATGCATTAAAAAATGGAACATAACTGGTGCGACTCCAGCATAAACCATTTAGATTTGTTGGTGTGTGCATGATTGAAGGATCCAAAGTATCATATTTTATGCTAACAAAAAAAAATAGGAACTAGAATTTCCTGGCTAATGATTAATTCCTATTCTTCACTTCCGTGGATTGGATACTGTAGCAACAAGCAAAATATTCCAGCTCCGACCACCATGATGCCGAAACCTTCTTATTTCTTTGTAAGATTTTTGTTTAATGGTAGACATTTATTTGTTGATTGGGTTATACATTTTGACCTTTCTGAAAGTAAATTTAAAATACAATTCCGGATAACCAAATCCGAGCCATAATATTTGACAAAACATCATGTCTATATTTTTAAAAATATTTTTAATGTTATTTATTAATAAAAATAAAATGCTTCTCATTTACCCTCAATTAATGTGTTTGGTTTTGAAGATTCCTTTCGCCATTCTGGTACAAATACGATGATAGTTGAGTGCGACCTCTTCTTGAACCAGTCAACTACAATCTTTATTCCTCTACATTCAAATACTTCTTTACGACCAAAGCTAATTAAAATTAAAGGTAAAATCATATAATTATTACATGTCTATCATATATTACATGTAAAATCATTCCAAAACATTATTACGCATATTATTTAACACAGGAAAAATATAAGACAAATGAAATCTTATTATAAAAAAAGAACATGGGTAAAATCATGTATAGGAAGTTATACTATGTTATACTTATGGGTAATAATCTTATTCTCTAATCATGCAAGTCAGAGCTTCCAAGTCTCCCAGATTCTCTTTTATTTTTCTATGATTTTAACTTATTTTCAAAATTAGGGCTTCCAGTATGCTAACCTAAATTTTCCCATTCTTGTGCATTAAATACGGCAGACACATTAGATTTATTGAACATTCTAGGCAGCAATAAGTTGTTAACAGTGAACTAAACCAGCAAAAGCTCTTTGTTTTTATATTGAACAGGGTGATAAATTTATACGCGAGCGTGTCCTTGTATATGAGTTTTGGCTACAGTAGTAAACAGTCGGAAACCTCTGCCTGTCCTGCACGACGTATTTACATCTTCACTAAAAATATATAATTAATTATTATTATTTAATTATCTACAACTACCTTTGTACACTATTCATGGTATACTTTCTGCACTTTGATCATTAAATTTAAAAAATGCAGTGTTAAAAACATTATTATTATTATTATAAGATATTTAAATGTTAAACATACTGTACCTCATGGCAACGTTGCTCCCATCAATGATGATTGGACGGAGATTTTCAGCATCATCAATGACTTGCTGACAATCAGCGACATCACCAGAAATCGTAATTGAGTTGTTCCTATCAAGATCTGTTGGGGTAGACGATGAACGTTCTAAAGCCCCCAACACATCATTTCTGTCTGCATCAGTCCCAAGCTGCGGTAAAACTTGATCTAATTGATTCCTCGTATAACCTAACTTAAGTACAAAATCTAACATATCCGAGTATTTTTTTATCGATGCTTCATTTTGATTTTCATCATCATCATCATGTGCCTGGTTTAACAGTAAATTCTCTTTGGGTGTAATCTCACGATTTCCATCTGTCACTGATATTTTACAAAGATCTGCAGTGTCCGTTGTGATATTGTTCGTTTCTTTGTTAGAAATATTTGAGTCGAACTCGGTACTAACAGAAGAATATTGATCGCATACATCTGCATTCCTCATTATTTCTGTTTCTACCAGCATACATGCCGTTATTAAACTGAATTCCTCCGATGCAGTTATCTTCAGTTTGTATTCATTTGGAATATTCCTAATCACTGCTCCACATTCCCGCTCAAAATTGTCGATTCTTTTTAGAATCTGTTCGGTAAGTTCTGGCGGGTATGGTACCGTCTGCTCAAGTTCACTTCCACATAACGCCAGGACGTATTTCTGTAAAAGAAAAAAGAAATTATATAAAATTAAATAAATATATAAAATATAACTTAGGAATCCTGTAGTAATTTAATTTGGATCTGGATTAATATTATATGAACAATTTAAAAAGTCTTTCTAATAATATTAGAAATAAATAAATTTTTAAAAAATATCTTTTTTTTTATACATAAGATTGCGATATATTTCTGATCTCATCAAAAAAAATTTTAATATCATTTTAAGCCAGACAAAACAATTTAAGTAACAGAAACTAATATTGTCAAAAAAGAAAATACTAAATTCACATCATTTAAAATGAAAGAGAAAAAAAAATAACACACTGGTTGAACCATCGCACCAACTGCAGTGAACCAGTATTAAAGGTACAGTGTCAAATGCTAACAAGCATAAGAATTGACCACAACTATGCCCAGTAAATGTTGTTCTGTAGAAAATACTGAAGGTTGTCTTATATATACATTTTGAAAATAAATTCTTCATAAATATTACACTTTCCACCCACTATTCAAGATGTACATTGCAACATTGTACTGATGACGAACCAATAATCAACAACGCCTTTATCTTCCCACGTTCAATTCAAAAGTTTGGTTTGTCTAGGCCTGCCCAAACCAGGACACGAACTTAGCTACTGTTACCTTTGGACCCAAGCATAAACACAATATTTTGCTGACCAATGTTGCACTGCAAAATGATTGTTTGATTATCTCTAGTTGTATATGAATGTAAATAACAAAGTTCACAGCCAAATAAATAAAACAATACAATGTTAATTATTGTTTAGAATAATTAAAATAAGATATGGACATGAAGATCGTAGACTTCAGTTGAACTTGTCACTCGCTAGGTATGCTGGAATACTGTACATAGAATTAATAGAAATGGAAATTCCCTTCATAGATGAATAATAATGCATAGCAGTATTCAAGTGTTCTGATTGGCTGGTAGGAGTCAATAAGCCATTGTGATTGGTACATCACAGACATAGAAAATCCCACACTAAAAATGTATAGCTTTCCTATAATAGACTTACAAAGTTAATGAATGATGGAATTAGATGAAATTCTACAGTGAACTTTAATCATCGGTTTATTAATGTTGATGATGAAAATTTGGGATATTCTAAGTTATAATAATAAACAGAATAGTATGATGATAGAGATTTCATGGTATTGCAATAGTTTAAACTGGAAGTGTTGACTTTTAGGATTCTAGGAATATTCCTAACAGGTTGTCAATTTTCCGAAAATTTCATATTGTGTCTGTCAATGTCATCAACACATTTGGCAGTTTACTCATCTTTGTGTTTAAAAAACATGAATCCAGGTACAAAAGTAGGCTCCTAACAAAGTTATGCAATTATTGGCAATGTTTTTTTTAATTAATTGAAAATTTTAGCCAGGCCACAGTGCAGCACAAGTACCAATATTTAATGGATACATTGTCCCATATCCCACACCATTCCCATGTGAGGTTCATCATCAATGGTAGCTGGTTTTTATCTGGGTAATTCAGCACAACAAATATATTATCTCTTGACCAAGTACTTAGCAGCCCATACTGTAGTACAATAATATTTTATTCTGACTAAATTTAATTTGGAGGCCAATAATATGCTAAGCATTTCTTGAAAATAAAAAATATATTAGCAACATTTTGATAGAAATCAATAGAAAATAATTTATACAAATTTAGTTTTGTGAGAAGGCAAAAATAAGGCTTTGGGTGTGTGTCAAGAAAACTTTGAAAAATCAATGACTACAATGATTTAGGCTACGTTCAGACTTGGATATAAGCCAGGCTTGAGTTAAGCCCGGCTCAACGTTAAGCCGGGCGTTCAGACTAGCAGGTATAGCCAGACGAGAATTTGCATAATAATAAACCGTAACCAGGAAACGTGTTTCAAAACATTGCTCGCTAAAAGTACGCTCGCTCACACCGTACGTAATTGAATGCCGATTGATCATTTCGTCACCCGAAGTCAATGCAAGACCCCCGCAACGATTAAAGCCCGGCTTAGAAAAGTTAAACACGGTGGCGCCAGGCCTAGTTACTATAGGAATAGAGCCCAGCTTGAGATAAGCCACCTAGTTCAGACTGGCAGGTGGATAAACCCGGTGAGTTGAGCTGGGTTTATCCACGTAGTCTGAACTAGGCCTTTGTCTTTTAACTACAGGTATAGTTTTTATTCTTCCGTTGACCATGTTACGCACATGTTGAATAGTACTTCCTAAAAAATTGTAATGAACAGAATCTCCAGCAATGCAAACACAATGGCTACCAACCTCTTGCTACAAGCATGGAGGAATGTTCATACTACAAGATGGCTACACTTGTAACAAATGTAACAAGCAACTGCACTGCTATAGCTTGTATGGAAATGTTTCTCCAATATTTTTCAACATTAATGTTCAATGATGTTAAGTCTAATAATTGCAAATGGGTGTGGCAATCTTGTTCTGATTGGACGACGAAATATGAACCAATCGATGGATGTTTTGATAAGTCATGGTTTGTTTTTAGAGACAACATTTCGTGCAGAGACTCTTTTTTTTTATATTTTCATAATTAAAATCACTATCGTAGACATGAGAGGTTGTTGCTTTTGTGTTTGCATTAATTTTAGCCAGCATTGGTGAAGATCCTGCTAGTACTTTTTGGTGGACCTGTAAAGGGCAACCTCTGTGTCGCTTATACTTACTATAATGGCATTGAGATCACTTTAGCGGTTTTGTCTGAATACACCCTCCTGGTATGATTTAAGGGTAAAAGGGACCATTGACGCAACACCTACAGTATGACCTCTCACTAGCTAAAAGCAGTGGCCTGGATATTAAGCAGCCCTGGGATTAATCGGTATTATTTTCGCAATACCGTGGGCCCTACTGGTGCCCCGCAAAGATCGGAACATGTAAAAAAACCCCTTCAAATTACATCCTAAAAGAAAAAAATGCAGAATGAACAAAAATCCGCAGTGTACTGTAACCTAATGACTGGGCTTAAGGCCTTTTCGTTACAACATTGCTCCAGACTAATTCACTTTTACAACTAATTGCATGGCAACGAAAGTGAACTACAGTAGTAAACATTGAAATGGTTGCCAAGCTGGTGTTATTCAATTACACAGCCTCCTTTGTGGATTCAAACCTCAAAACTTGTTTCATACATTTGAATAGTTAAATATTCATCTGAAGAATCTGTAGTAGCTGATCAGTGCTGCCAACTAGATATTATAGTCACAAAAGTTGTTTTCTATTATTTTTTGTTTTGTTTTTGTTTGGGTTTTTTTTTAGCACCAACTCTAAATGTCATAACAACAGTATTCAAATCTATAAGGGTTGGATGATTTATGGTAGGTGTTTATGTCATTGTGCATACCTGTGTCTAGGTGAAGCTCTACATGCAAGTATGCACAAACATCATGAGAAATTACAGTATGATTATTTGTGTATACATAGATATTTTAGTGCTGTATGATCTTGTGTATCAGTAATATCAGTCACAAATATCCCTATAGTGCAGGAGGCAAAAAACAGTGGTTCTAAGGTTTTCCATCTGGTCTGCACCAAAGAGGTGCAAATAATTATTCAGAAGAAATCCCATCTTTGCTAGTGGATTTTCTGAGGGAACCTCTTTTCAAGTTCACAATTGTTGATTACAATTGGTACTTTGTTGCGCTAGTTTGACCTTTACACTCTTAAGCCCTTGGAATCGGTTAGTTTTCGAACCTGTGGCCCCCACGGGGGGCCCTGAGTGGCCCCTGCCCCCCCAGAAAAGTAAGACCCGATTTGCTCCACTAGCCTCCCCCCCCTCGGGCCTTTAGCCCCTCCGTCGGGCAGGTCCTGGCACCGTACCAATCCATTAAAATATCCAGAATAATATAAAATATAACAAAGATATAATAGCACCTGCTCTACCGTACAGTATAAGAAATTAACACTCATTCCTGGAGTCCGACTATTAATAGCCAGAACCGGGGTTGAATGCGACGTAGTTGGAAGCCAATAACCCTACAGGAAGGTCAACAACAATAGAGAATAGGCCACATAACTATTGATTGTCAATGCTAATAGTAAACAGAGAGATTGTTTGTGCCAGTAAACTACAACACATTTGAAACTTAGGACATGGAAAATAAAAGTGAAATGAAATATGCAAGTTTGAAGAACTGAACAATATTTTTATAGGCTTCCATGTTTTATTTAATTATCTGTTTGTTATCAATATTTTGTAAAAAATACCGATGCATTATGTTTTTTATACTTAATTATACGGTTTTTTAAATGGGTTGAATGCACACATTTATCTTCTGCTTGGTTTCAATGATTTCTGTTAGTGACAATAAAAGCTACAGTATCTTGAATCTTGAAAAATCTAAACTAATTTCCAAATTTTGTAATTTTAAAAAATATGTTAAATTCTATACTATTACTTTACTACTACTTTTAGCACATCCTTGATAGAAATATCTATGATTACCACAGTCTTATATTCACAAATTCTCAACAATAATATTATAAAGTTAAAACATTGACCTTGGAATAACATTTTACATGGCACGTACTAAGCGTTTTGCAATGTTTGCCGATTGATCATACTTCCTCCTATTGTACAAAGGAAAGCAGTTATTGTTTACCAAGAGTGTCATTACTGTATACTGTAACCTGTACAAAAAGGAAATAATAAACTCAAATTGAAAAGTGGTTCTCACGTGCTTATGATAATGATATTAGCATTATGCAATTAGGTAGGCTACTGTACATTATACAAGGTAAAACCTATATTTACATATATATTGAGAAAATAGGCTTACAGTAATTTTCATTAAATTGTGTAATGAACTACAGGTGGTTCAATGAGCACAGTATAGCCTACTCATTTTAACACATAATTGAAACTAAATGAGGAGGTTGATGGAGGTGGAGGGGTGGGGGTTGAGCTACAGTGTAATAAACAGAAACCATCATGATTAAACAACAGTTATCTGCATTCCC